TCGTTTGCCCTGTTGTTGTTCTTAGCGTTTAACGTCCGCTTCCACCGAAGGTGATATCGCAGACAAGTTCATTTTAATGATCTTAGCGCACGCTGTGGGAGGAAACCGGAGTACCCGGAGTAAACCCACGAGGTTGAGAAGGCGCCCCTATCTCCAAGCCACATACGCTCACACCTGGGATCGAAACCACAGCCGCAAGCCAGAGGTGACCGGCCAACTAGAGGTCGAAGCGTGACACTCTAGACCACTAGGCCATCCCAACCCCTGATCGAAACTTTCTTATATCACATACGTGGAGGCTATGGCGCCCCCCACTCTGCTGCACCCCCACTTTTAAAATCCTACATACGGCCCTGATACGTATTATGTGGATTCTATCGATTAGGCTTTTACAATTTATGGTGTACTCAGTTACCGACAGTCTTTGATTTGAATAATCCGATAACAATATAATGGTATTGACTATAGCCCTTTCGCACTTACACGTGTCAACCATTGGGCCAACTGCTTTTAGTAAGCGCTTATCTTCAACTTTACATTTTCATTAACGTAAAGGACAATGTTGGTGTCAGCCATTATCACATATGTGATACAACTGGTTAAACACTTTCCAAATATAATTTTAACTCACAGATCATTGCTACGATAATCACTGATAATTCCGTTAAAGACGAAAAGTCGTTATATGAGCTGAAAACACCCTTTTTTTTCAAATCTTCGTTATGCATCTATCGTAGCAATGATCTCAGTGTTTGAATTATACTTGAAATGTGTTTAACCAGTTATATCACAAATGCGATACCGGTTGACATCAACAGTGTCCTTTAATTCATAGCAAGTCGTAACAGATTTAACTCAAATGACGAAATATCTTCTCCGGGAACCCTAAGTAAAAATCTCACGTTTATATCATTAAATGGTCAATATAATATTAAGAAAATCATAATGGGGTATACAATACCAAATATAGATGACTATTCTTAATCTACTTTATAATGGGGGTTTGGGATCGGCATGAGTATTCATTAAAGATTATCAGGTTTGGATACAATGATGTAATAACATGTCATATTGTTTGCGATGTATTCATGAACACGCGCTAACGACAACAGGCTATTGGACAAAGTATGCATGTACGCTAAAGACAACATGCTATATATTGAACGACGTCTATTTTACCCAAAGTCTGGCCTAAGTGAGGGATTATATGGGTTGGGCCTTATATCGCATTCAAATAAAATAACAAAGCAATTCCACGTTTCTGGACGCTGTAAACATACAAATAGTCCGGAAATATATCGGTTTTACATTCTGAATAAAACCTGTACCATTACCGACCCGGGACTGTACAACCCCACTCCCGGATCCATTCACTGTAACAATAACTCATTTCCCAGATGACATCTAACCGTCGGCGATTTTTAGGGGTTTTTTTATCATCTACATAACACAGCTTTCAGTCCCTTCTATGGACAATTCCATGAAAAGGAAAATCTTGACTCCGATTTTAAGTAGATTATAACGGTTTGGCCATTTATTGATTTAATTTAAACTGGAGAAGCGAGACCAAGACTCGAATAACCAGCACCGTTGTTACGATAACAAACAAACATATCTCCGTAGGGAGAGAGTTGACAATATTTCTGTAGGGAGATAGTTGACAATATTTCTATAGGGAGAGAGTTGACAATATTTCTATAGGGAAAGAGTTGACAATAATTCTGTAGGGAGAGAGGTGACAATATTTCTATAGGGAAAGAGTTGACAATAACACCCTGCACGTTTCAAGTCAGTAGCTTGAAGCGTATATATGGTATTAGTGTCAGTGGCTTGTGGCACGAAGTAACAGTATATTGTCGCATACATAATATATTATGTCAACGCTTGGGCTACATAATATATTGTGTTGACGCTCCAAGCGTGTTAGCATATTAGACCTGTAGACTCAGTGGAATGTACGCGTCATCAGAGCGGATCCAGGGGTTGGACCATGGGGACCGGTTCACCCCCTTAACAATAGAAAGTGTCCCTGTAAATAAAAGAGGGCATCCTTATCAGAAAAAGGGCACCTGTGATGTCAGAATTTCAAAAAAGGGCACTTTTCTTTCGGATTAGGGTTAGGGTTAGGTTTAAGAATTTGGGGGGAGACAAAATATGTCTCCAAAGCATTCATTGGTTATCAAAGCGCCAATTAAATCTATCGTTGCAAGTTCATGCCTAGTCACCTCCATCCTAGTTCCAAGCGTTGACATAATATATTATATCGCCCAAGCGTTGACATAATATATTATGTATGCGACAATATACTGTTACTTCGTGCCACAGGCCACTGACACTAATACCATATATACGCTTCAAGCTACTGACTTGAAACGTATCGCCTGACAATAATTCTGTAGGGAGAGAGGTGACAATATTTCTGTAGGGAGAGAGGTGACAATATTGCTGTGTGGTAAAAAGAAATTCTGTAGAATTGTTGCATAGCATATGATTTAAATGGAATTTTCAATACAGTATATTATTTATTTTGCATTATCTGTTTTTTAAGATAATTAAACATACATTATGCAAGAGCTAAATCTGCCTATTGCAGTTCTTTCTTTGGGCCTGAAATGTTAAACTATTGATTAGACATTAATAAACTTATCTAGACCATAATCAACTCTCGATGTCATCGCTAGACTGCGATATTTAATGGATTAGGATCCGATTTGCTGGTCAACGCTCATCCATGATTAAATCAAGAAAGGATAATCGAGATTATTTTTTTTATAGTACCGACTTTAGTAATGATGATCGAGGCATGGTCCAAAATTCAATCGCTAAATTCTCGGTTCAAATTGGGTCAATTTCACTGTGACATTTTCAGCAAATTGCCTTTACATTATCTAGTTTTTAACTATTATAGTGAGAACTGCCAACTCGTTATCTAATCTCCCATAACGTATCTTTAAATTAACCACTTTAAGATCAACTGGCTAGTATGTCGTTAACCTGTCATCACTCAAAGCCGTCATTGGGTAAGGACGTAAATCCTATCTATTGTTTTTTGTTGATGTATTATATTGTTTAATCCTTTATACATCGGATGGGTTCAAAGGGATGGGGGACCGAATGGTTAGCCCATGCGTGATGTATAATAAGTTCTGTCATTGAGTGAACTGGCGTGGTTTCGATTCCCCAGTTGTACGTGACAAGGGGTAGGGTAGCCTGTCCAACCTCTTGGATTTTCCCCGGTTTCCTCCCACTGCTAAAGACATCTACGCGCTAGCGATGGATTGAAATAAAATAGAACCATGTTAGTCTCGAAATGACCTATTTTGTGTCGAGATGAGACTCTCTCTCTCTCTCTCTCTCTCTCTCTCTCTCTCCCCTGTTTTATGATATATTATATATGTTTACGGGAGCAGAAGGAAAGGGCCAAGATTTACCAGGTGTGTGTCTTCTTTACACTCTACTAGGAAAGTTTTTTTCGACTTATGTTATGTAACCATGACTGTTCAAAACGCTGTTTAGATTCACGGAGAAACTAGGTTTTTATGCACTGAGAAATGCTTTTATACATGTTATGTAACCATGACTGCCTCAAAACACTGTATAAACCCCCGGAGAAAACAGACCTTCACATATAGAACACGAGTTGCTGTTCATATGTGATGTAACCATGACTCCCCCAAACACAAATATAATTCTAGTTTCAGTTTGATAACAAAAAGGAAATAATTCTTCTATCAGTCTATTCAATCTGGAATTATTAATATGAATTGTAAGTTAACCTTCCCAATGTCGATGGTTCAGGTCGGAGGGCCTCATAAGTACAGCTGCCCTGTCGTTCGGACGTAAAACCGAAATCCAGTGTACCTGTTATATCGAATTCCAACTGCCAATGGATCTTTTACGTGTATGCCATCCGAAAGACTATATAGCTGCCAAGCCCCATGTCTCGGCCAACACCGGGAGCGAACCCGCAACCTCCAGTCTAGCGAGCCAGCGTCTTACTCATTGAGCCATCGTGGCAATTCTTTACGTCTAGTTACTAAGAATTTAATCCCGTCCAATTTTCGTCTTTCTCCCCCTTTCCTTTTTCCCCTTTGACGATATTTGTTGAATCATGGACCTTTGAATGTACATTTTCTGTCATATTTTGGTGAACATTTATGATTTTGAGGCAGAAGGATACAAGAGTTGAAATGTAGGACGTACAGTTGTCTGTTTACTAGTTCGGTATCCCACGGTTTCCATGGTGAACGTCATACATGTTTTTAAGCAAGTGGGGGTCAGTCAGGGTCGTATGTAGGATTTTAAAAGTGGGGGTGCAGCAGAGTGGTGGAGCGCCATAGCCTCCACGTATGTGATATAAGAAAGTTTCGACCAGGGCAAACGAACCCATTGGCGTGTGGGCGCCCTTAAAACCGATCGACTGATCAGTGCCTTAAGAGCATCACTGTGTGATTATAATCAATTGTATTATTTTATAATTGAAAGATTGTCAAATATTTTTTAAATTTTTTTGGGATGGGGTGGGAGGCGCAATTTCTCGGGGCGCCTTATTTTTCTGGGGGTGCAATGTACCCCCTGCATCCCCGCTAAATACGGCCCTGGGGGTCAGTATATATCTGTATACATATTACAATTCAACAATGAACAAGCTTTGTTTTGTATTTGTTATAAATTCGACATTCTAAAATAACCACGTTGCCTGGGAGAGAGAGGGAGAGGGAGGGCGGAAACATTACCCCTTTAGATATTTTGCTGCGTAATCACATTGCAAGGATCACATACCTGAACGGTTTTACTTATAGGGGAGTTACCTATGCCCTTATTGGGACGTACATAAGAGTGATAAAGCCCCCTGAATCAGACATTAGTGTATGTCGCTTTTCTTTAAATTAGAATGGGTCGATATCGATTTCCTTTTACGGCAACTAAGGGTTGTGTTATCAACAGCCCCATTTCATATAAATGGTTTAATTGGGGGATGTTTATCGAGCTCAGTTTAGTTTAAGTTAGTGGGCTTAGACTGCGCTATTCGTCACATTGTCCGCTTACAGCAAAGTCTGATATTATAGTGTACCTGTCGCATAGTGTACGGCAAACCCATGCCACCATCCTGCTACAAGATGTTGAGTGGGGCAATCATACTTATTGTCATGATTCAGGAGGTTCCACTTATTCAAGGTATATATTATTTCTTATTTTCTTAGAATTTAGTGTTGTAGGACAGAGGGCCTGGCATAGGACGACGTAGATGGGACGGAAACCGAGGTCCCGTGTACACTTTGGTGTGCACGTAAAAGAACCCGTGGCATTTGGATATAAGAGTTGTCCTTAGCCCCGCTGTCCGGGCAAACATTTCCCTCATAGCACACTGTATGGCGTATGTCTGTCTTTATAAGCCCTGTCGGAGAGAGAGGGAGAGAGGGGGAGGGTAACATCCACTCAACACAAACCAGACCATTTCGGGACTAACAAGGTTCAATTTTATTTCAATAATTCGCTTGCGCGTAGGGTTGTTTTTAGCAGTGGGAGGAAACCGGAGGACTAACGAAGTTGGACAGGCGAGCCTACTCCTTGTCACGTACAACCGGGGAATCGAACAGTCGAGCAAAATAGAAGGATGTTAAACCCCATTGCATTCCATTTTCTTAGAATCTATTGTTGTTTATAATTTGAAATGGTATGAAAACGGTCATAAGGTGTCGTAGCGAGTGGATAAAACCCACAGAAAGGGACAGGCTAGCCAGGGGGGTGGGGTGGTCTAGTGATCTAGAGTCTCGCGCTTCGACTTCTAGCTGACCTGTCACCTTTGTTTCTGGTTGTGGTTTCGATCCCCGGTGGAACATATGTGGCATCTTCTCAACCTCGTGGCTTACTCCGGTTTCCTCCCACAGGAAAGACCCATGCGCGTGCGCTAGGATTATCAAAAAAGATTTGTCTGCGATATCACCCTCGATGGAAGCGGACGTTAAACACTAATCACAACAACAACAGTATTAAAGCTCGCAATGGTGATATTTTATGTGAAATTTAGATTTAAATATATGAACTTTATTAAAGCTCGCAATCTTGATATGTTATGTGAAATTTAGATTTACTTATCTATGAAATGTATTAGTGTCATTCACTGTTTAAAACTTCAACGTACATAAATAAACTGAAAATATATTGTAAATACAATGTCAATAATAATATAAAAAAACAGAAAACTTTTATGCTGCTCCTTGTGTAAATGGTGTGCACTGCTATCTTTAGGTTTCGCGAACTCTTATTTACGTTCGACAAAATCTTATTGCTGGGTCTGTTTTAATCCGATTAAATTTATTGCCTTTCAGTATTTACATAGATATGATATTTCCTAAGAAATAACATATTCGCATAATATGTGATATGTACTTAAAATACTTAAATCAACTTAGTCTGTAATTGACAGTTGCTACATAAAAAAGAGTTATTTATCGAAAACATATGTCACTCATTTACCACCAGAATTACACGTGAGTGGAATCATTCTAATTGCATCATTTGATTTAAAGTAACCAATCAGTTTGTTAATTACACAAGTTCAGGGCCATGATCACGCGTTATTGTGCATGATATTCAATTACCTTTAAAAGAAACCGGGGAACCCTGTAAGTCAGACTTGCATTAGATTCCAGAGATCGAGGGTACATCTGAGTTCCTAGACAGCCGAGAGGCTGGATAGGGTGGAGAAGTGGTTTTAGCTATATAGTATTGTAATTTGTGCTATGCTTGTATCCATATATGTATTCAGCTATATAAAATGAATAGCGTGGATTTGGCCGTGATACATTTGATACTTTCCCGAGCAAGAATAGAATACAGTCTTGATTTGGTTTGACTTCTTACTGTTAAGCATGAACCGGGCTAGTTAGTGAAGACGGGAAAACACCATGTTTTATGAAGTCCCGAAATGACCTAGTGTCGAGTGGACGTTAAACCCCATCCCCTAACCTTAACCCTGGACCGTCTCCGATCTAGCGTTCTCCGTTAAGTCATGAAATAAAACCCTGCAGGCAGACATAACAAAAATATCGATTTTCCCTTGTTTTTCCTTTAATTTATTCGATTGTTTGTATCATTTATTTAATTTATGTCGACCCATGGATAGGGAATTTTGTCTGCCACATTACGTTGTATGTAATATTACTTCTGTTGAAACAGGCGTTAAACCACTACTGCCAATTTGCAGAGAATTTTGTCGGTCAATTAAAACGGAGAATTTGTCTACACTGTATAAAATTGTCCATTTTTTTATGTATCTGAATTCTGTAGACTAGACAGCTGTCCTGCCTTTCACATCAGGCAAAGGGAAACCACGCCTGAAAATCACAATGAACTTTCTCGGCCAACACCCACTTAGCCACTGTGGCTCCAGAATTGAACTTCAGAAGTTGCATGATCTGTCATCATCGACGAAATAGGCCCCACTGATGAGTAGTGAAGAAAACGAAGAGTTAAAAAAATGAAATGAAATAAAATGAGGACGGGCATACGTCATACAGTGTGCTATGAGGGAATTTTTGCCCGGGCAGCAGCACCATGGCCTACACTTATATCGAATTCCAACTGCCAAGGATCTTTTACGTGCACGCCAATATATACAGGGGACCTCGGTTTTTCGTCCCATCCGAACGACTAGACAGTTGTCCGTGTCAGCCCCCCCCCCCCGTCCTGCATCGTTGACAAGGGGAAACCACGTCGGAAAATCCCAATGAACTTTCTGGGCCAATGCAGGGATCGAACACGCGACCTCCAGGCTAGAGAACCAGCGTCTTACCCACTTAGCCACCGTGGCTCCTCCGAAGAGTTAAATGTCTCGTGTTCAGATGAGATTTCAAAGAGTTCCAGTGACTAAGACTGTAATATTTGTATTGTTTTCGTTTGTCTTAATAAAAATATTATTAATGGGGCTATTTTGTGGTTTATGGATTTTGAAATATGTTTCAAAAATAGGGAAAATGTTCTGGAAACAAAAATTACCAGGATTTTTTTTTTTTTTTTTTTGTATTTGAAAATGGAAATTGAAGGAAATTTCTGTAAATTACAGGGAAACAAATACGGATAAAATTATCCTGGTAATTTTTGTTTCCAGAATTTTTAACGGGTTTTCACAGATTTATTTTTGTTACAGTGTACCCTGTTGTCTGCCCTCTCAACAGAATTTTGTCAGAAAATATGTTTGCCCTCCTGTCTGCTACTTACGTATTATCTAAGAGCTAAATCTACCAATTTCTGGTCTTTTTATTGTTTCAAATACCTCATAATGATTATCATTTAGACATTCATTCATATACCAAGCTTATATGTTTGTGAAAAGCCACTATTTTAAGTTAAGATAAAATTTTAACTTAAAATATTATTTTAGTGGATTTTAACTAAAATGCTTAAAATCGTTTTGTGAAACTCATCTATCTTAAGTTAGGATGAAATTTTAGTTTAAGACGATTTTAAGGAGATTTAAGTTTTTGTGAAAAAGGGCCCAGCTCTTTATCTAAATCTTACATCATGTATCTTTGTCGGCCACTTTACAGTGAATGGCGAATGAGAAATGTATTACTCAATTCAGCGGGCTCAATGTCATATACAATTTTGAACGTAATTACTGACGCGGATACTAAATCAATAATTGACTTGATATTCACACTAACTTACCCTTTTATTGAAATAACTGACGCGGATACTAAATCAATAACTGACTTGATATTCACACTAACTTACCCTTTTATTGAAATTGTAACAAATCTTCTATAGTGGAGATATCAAAACGTCCTTATTGGGTTATTATTTTTTTTATTTTTTTTTGATAGACAATATTTTTATTCGGGATGTCTGAATGAGATTGGCGAACAGGCTTAGCCTATGTAAAACTCCTCTCCCTAGATAATATACATACATAGTATTAAAACAAAGGAACAAAATGGGTGTATATACACAGTTAAAATGACAAACACATACATATATAAGTGTAAATACATATATAATGAGATGGATGGAAATGTATAATATATACCTATAGGTTACATGTTATTATTGTATTAAAGTATTTGACTATTCACGTTTATGGTTTCACTGTACATGTTTAATGTCATTGTGCTTCAACATTACACAGTGCTCCTCAATACAATATTTTGAACTAGCATCCTTTATTCATAATCTCTATCATCGTCGCTAACAACGATAACCATTATTTAATTCATGATTTCTATCATCGTCGCTAACAACGATAACCATGCTTTAATTAAAACAACATTATCAATCACTAACAGTAAATTATCAGCCTATCACAAAGTGTGTGGTCGATATGAATTCTCTGTGAAATGGCAGGACAAAGTTGTCTGTGAAAAGGCAGACAAAATTCTCTGTGAAAGGTGGCCGACAAAAATTCCCTGTGAAATGGTCGACATAAATTCTCTGTGAAATGGTCAACATAATATTCTTTGTGAAATGGTCGACATAAATTCTCTGTGAAACAGCAGACAAACTTCTCTCTAAAATGGTAGACAAGATTATCTCTCAAACAAAAGATTTATATACGGTGCTATATGGTGGATTTAGTATAAATCTTGTCACCGTCGACAAAATGGCGATTGATATATTAGCGCCCCCACCCCCCGCCCTCTTGATTGAATCTTAACCTATGTCGGCTATTTCTTTTGATCATTTTCTCGATATAATAACACCATTATGATACGTGTCGTATGGAAGCCGATCAATACCCTTTTACGCTCATTCTTGCCTTCGCAATAGAAGTGCGCATGAAAGATACAGATAGGAAGGCGACGTGAAATCCGGTGATAGCCTCATATCGATACGAACGCAAGGTAAATTGATTAAGGTGTAGCTGAAAATTGAATCGTAGCGAAGCGAAGCTGCAACGGGCGCGTTAGGGTCATTTTTCGCGTCTTCGCACTTTGTAAGGCAATCATGACAGAATGTGAATTTATCGGCTGTCATAAATCGACGTCTTTATGCTAGATAATGACCTGATGTGAGGCCATTGTAAAATATAAATTTATGCCTTACTTATGAGAACGTGAATCCGTTTGCTAAGTAATTGGTTAATTTACGTTATGTAGTTTGGGGTGTAGCTCAGTGTACTATTAGTTCGGGATCTTTCACGTTCTCACAGTATATTCTGGATATTCTGGGGAATCTAAAAATAATATAGAGTTCCAAATAAATTATATACGCTGATGAAGGTTCAAACGTTTATTAAAGACTGACACAGTAAGAATACTGACCGACTGTCTTCTGTCGTATATAAAGCAAACCTTATCATCAGTTCAGAAGTTTACTTGGAAATTAAACATGTGAAGGGGATTATAGATAAATTTACAAAGATTAACCCTTTGAATAAGAAATAGTCGCAAGACCATTTAAACATCCTAATAGGTGAACATTTCATGGGTATTATTTAATAAATTGTGTACCCTAAGTCATACACGTATACTATATTATGTACAATAATGTGACTTACTGAACTGTGGTCAAGTTGTAAGATAACGATGACGATGAGAGAGATTTGCTACTGTCATGTTAAATTTAAAAAATAATATTTTGAACAACAAAAATATCTATGCTATATCACTTATATGGGCTTCCATAGATTTCTTCTCTCCGTTCTTCTATTTTTGTCGTTTATTTTGTACAGGGTGAACAGTCCATTTACTGCTTAAACTATTTTGCCTATACCGTTTGTCTATTTTGTCTAATGGTTTGGATTGTTCGTACTTGGGTTTATTTTATTCATAGAGTAACCGTAGAATCTTGTTTGATCCTATACATACTATACTTTCAGGTCAGCCAGTTACCCGCAGCCCGCTAGTTGCAATCATCAGTGGAACCCGTATAGTCAACAACGATCCTACTAACAATACGTATGGAAGAGTGGAGGTCCAGATAAATGGTACCTGGGGAACTGTATGTGATGATCAATGGGATTATCTAGACGCAGGAGTCGTTTGTAGAATTCTCGGATTCCAGTAAGTTCTTTAAATTGCATCTTAATGGACGGAGTCGGTCTAATTACAACTTCCCGGATGAAGTCGGACTAATTACTAATTAACTAGACGCGAGAGTCGTTTGTCGAATTCTCGGATTGCAGTAAGTTCTTTAATTAAATTGCATCCTAATGGACGGAGTCGGACTAATTACAACTTCCAGGATGAAGTCGGACTAATTACTAATCATCTAGACACGGGATCCGTTTGTCGAATTTTCGGATTCAAGTAAGTTCTTTAAATTGCATCTTAATGGACGGAGTCGCACCAATTACAACTTCCCGGATGAAGTCGGACTAATTACTAATTATCTAGACGCGAGATAACGTTACTATTAACGTCACGGTCCTATCAAAGATAACGTTACTATTAACGTCACTGTCCTATCAAAGATAACGTTTATTAGCGTCACTATAAGCGTCACGGTCCTATCAAAGATAACGTTACTGTTAGAGTCACTTGGTTTGTAACATGATTTTGTAACAAGAAACGCTAGCTACACAAATTGTTTTATGCTGTTTTGTTTATTTGAACCAGTGTGTGTCCGACTTTACATCACATAATATTCCTACTCACTTTATTAAAGATACATTATGGGAGATAAGATAAAGAGATGGCAGTTCTCGCTATAATAGTTAAAAACTAGATAGTGTAAAGGTAATTTGCTGAAAATTTCAGTCAAATTGATCCACTATGAGCCGAGAAAGAAGCCGGTGAAATTTTTGCATAGTCTCGGTTATCATTACTAAAATCATTAATATAAACAGCATAGTCTCGATTATCCACTTTTTTCTGATTTAATTATCTTTGGCCGTTAGCGGCATATAGGAATCTAATCCAGCCTACATCGAAGGCTATATAGCCTTGACATCGAGAGTTTATTATGGTCTGGATAAGTTAATTAATGTCTAATTGATAATTTAGATAACATTTCAGGCCTAAAGAAAGACTTGTAATAAGCAGATTTTGCTCTTGCATAATGCATGTTTAACATTCGACACCAAATAATTATCCATGCAAATATCAACCATTCCGCATTTTATCTTTCTTTATCATTATAGTTTTGGTGGGTTAGCGGAGAGAAATGCCGTGTTTGGACAAGGAACCGGACCAATATGGTTAGATGACGTTCAGTGTGTTGGCACTGAAACCAACCTGGACCAATGCAAATTGAATACTTTCATCGGTTTAGGGAATTGTAAACACAATGAAGATGCCGGTGTAATATGTTTTACTGAACCTGGTCACAACCCAAACCCTGGTGGTGGTAGCCCTGTTGACCCTCTTATACCAGTGATGATACCAAACTGTAATTATCATTGTATTTCTAAACTATATAATAAATTTAGACCCGTGTAATGAGCAGTAATTGTATTCCATAAAATTGTTACCTAGGTATTTCAAGTTAATTTACTAAATGTTATTGGCATGTATAACATTCCATATAAATGTCAGCGGAGAAGCGACGGATGGCGAAGATTCAGATAATGAAGGCAGGGTATCGAGCATGGCAATGCATTTTCTAAGCGATCATACCCCTGGTAATATTCCTGCTGTTCAATCAAAACAAAAGCCAATGGTTCCGCCAACGGTCGACATGAAATTTGCAAGCTTGTTTTTCCGGAAACTGTGCATCGAATTAAGGACTGCGAGTTTAGACATGACGTCACAAATTCAAGATGGCTGTGATTGCGTCATACTCGGCCCGTGGTTCACAAAGTTCGGTCATAACGTTAAATCAATTGCCTTAAATTATTTTGCAGGTGCTCCTGCTATTGATATAATCCGTCTTCATACACCGGTTGGTGCTGCTCATCGTGGTCTGGTGGAAGTCCGACATAATAATACATGGGGCTACGTCTGTGACAATTCCTGGGACAAAGTAGACGCCGAAGTCGCTTGTCGGATGCTTTGTTATGCGTAAGATAATAATCATTATAAAATCCGATGAAATTAATGAGAAGGCCAATATCTGGCCATACTGGAAAATGTAGATGCCGTGTAGTTTTAACTCCACGTGAATAATGGAGATTTAATCATTCTCATTTTATCTACATGTGTCCACTAATGAAGTGGTCCCCCCCCCCCCCCCCGTCGCGAGTCTGACCGTGTTGACTAATAGTAAGTGCAGGAGGACTGCACGACACACAAAACGACAAAAAAAACCGCGGACCAAACAAACCACATAGACATTGCAAACAATAAACAACAAATATCAAATCATATGAATGGTTCCGGGGACCAGCTGTAAGCGTCCACTGTACTGTACAGTCCCGGGCCTGCAATGATACAGGCAATAGTCTGTCAGTTGACGTCGTACTTTTTTTTTACCTTGCCAGACTACCTAGCTTACGACGGGATGATCCACGAGCTGATACAAACCCATGAGCTTATTGGTCACTTTTGATATTTGAATGTTGTACCAAATCCCTATACATTGGCAGTCAGTAGTCACATCACTTACACAAATGGCCAGGACAACCAAGGGGATAGGCCTACAATACAGGCCCGTAACTAAGGGGGTTCGCCACCCTTGCAAAATGTTTCGGACCCACTGTAAAAAAAATGTCGACCATAAAAACACTAGATATACATTGTCCGTCAATTTTACAACACCTCCTGAGAACCCCCCCCCCCTCCTTGCTCTGAGCTAGTTACGTCCCTCTACAATATCAAGTAAAATTATGTCAGTCGACTTGCGTGCAGCGCCCGCCACTGTATGTGCACTATCCTCATAACACACTGTATGACGTATGCCCATCTTTATTATCCCAGTTGGTGTAGAAAAGTGGGAGACTAAACCCAATTTCACTTTTTTTCTCCGATATTTCAGAAATCAACAGCTAAATGCTCATCCCGAGTTTTTACTGAATTACACCGTTATCCCCAGGTCGAATCCCATCATCTTGAGTGAAGTGAGTTGTACTGGTAGTGAAAACAGCATCAACAACTGCCAACACGATCCCTATTATCAACATAACTGTGGACGGAATGAAATTGCGCGTTTATCTTGCGCACCACCGGAAGGGCCTAAGGGAAGTAAGTTAAGAAAGTTTCGTATCTTTCATGGTTAGATCTATTTGACATTGCCAAAAGCATATTTTCCTCGAGGTCACGAGGGAAACAGGGTTGCTAACTCTAACTCTAATAATTCTCACCAACAATCACGCGCCCTAACCCTGTTCACATCTCACTACCTTAAGGCAATATGCATTTGGCCTTGACAAATAGATCTAGTCATCTTTAATCCTCTATAGATGGGGGCCACGGTAGCGCAGTGAGTAAGACACTGAGACTAACCTGAAGACTTGGGGTTCGACCTGAGTGTTGGCCAAGAAGGTTCAGCGGGATCTAGCATACATAGGGATTAACCCGAATCCCCACACTCACGACTGTCCCATGAACCACCATCATGGCGCTTGTTTAATACTTGTAGTCGCCATATATTGATCGTGACAAATGATATATAATTGGTGGAGAATTCAAAAGGATAAAAATGTTTGCGCTGATATCTTCTTTCAGATCCATTGCCTAGAGTCATTTGTACCACAGATGAAATTCTGGTCGAGTTTGATAGATCTAAGGACCCTAATCTCAACGTACAACATTTGACTTTTGCGGATCCAAGTTTCCAAAGGCTACCTGGATGTAACTTTGTGAAGAGTGCAACTCCTCGTTATATTAATTTGCGGATACCTTATAATAACTGTGGTACAAATGTGACAGTAAGTAGAGAGAGAGAGAGAGAGAGAGAGAGAGGGAGGGAGCGAGGTGGGGTTTAACGTCAACTCGACACAAACCAGGTCATATGCTTCAATTTCAATACAGACATTCGCTTGCGCGCAGGGTTCTTTAGCAGTGAGCGGATCCCGGATGACCCGAAGAATACCCACGTGGTTGGACATGCGACCCTACTCCTTGTCACGTACAACTGGGGAATGGAAACCACGCCAGTCGACTCAATGACAGACTTTATGAAACAACGCTAACAAATCTCCCTCTCCCCTCCCGACATTAAGTACAACATTTAAAACACAATATGTATTTTTGCATCCGGCGTGGGGCATGTCAACTGTGAAAGAACTAGCAGACGGGTTGGTAGAAAAGGAAAGCACAACAAATAGCGAACGGTTTGATGATAAATTGTAGCGCAAATCAGAAATTTCCTCGATTCTGATTGGTCGAAAAGTGTAGTCGAATGGACAGTAAAACCCCTCGAAATTATCAAGGCGCGTCTCCTGTTCTAATGATTCAAGCATGGTTAAATTGACACTAAACCTCCTCTAAATACGTAACGGGGGGCGTCTTGATGATAACCTTAAAGCAGCTGATTGTTGGGTTTTTTTTTGGTATTTTAGACTCGCTAGCCTGGTGGTCACGTGTTCGATCCCTGCATTGGTCGAGAAAGTTCATCGGGATTTTCTGAAGTGGTTTCCCCTTGTCAGTGGTGCAGGACGGAGGGCCTGACAAAACCGAGGTACCATGTAAACATTGGCATGCACGTAAAAGATCCATTGGCAGATGGAATTCGATATAAAAGTAGGGCATAATGCCGCTACCCGGGCAAAATGTCCCTCATAGCACACTGTATGGCCTTAGCGCCGCTGTCCGGGCAAAATTTCCCACATAGTACATGCCCGTCTTCATTAGCCCAGTCCGAGCAGAACAGTAGGACGTTAAACTCCATTTAATTTCATTTCATTTCATTTGATATTTTAGGGTAATGCGACTCATATAACCTACTTCAACACCCTCATGTACGGTGTGACACAACCAGCTATTGCCGGTGGCATCAAACAAAGATCGGATTCATACAATATAAAGGTTGCTTGCTGCTTGCCACGAAACCAAACAGTTTTCAGAAATGTCACCAATATGGAATTGACTCAGATGGTGAAAAATGTCTCTCGGTTTATTGTGAATATGACCATATTTACCGATTCATCGTATAGAATCCCAGTACCAGCATACCCTGCCGTGTTCCAGTTGGGGGAGTGGGTTCATGTTGATGTCGATTTCAAGACGAACGATACAAGGTTGCGTCTTCTGGTACCAAACTGTGTTGCTACACCGTCTACAGACCGAAATGATCCTACCAGATGCCCTTTAATCGAGGAAAAGTAAGTTAAGCTTTATCTTAAATATGGCCCACGGTGCCTCAGTGAATAGGACGGAGTGACAACGTATAGTCATTCGGATGGGACGAAAAACCGTGGTTCCGTGGTGTAGGACGGACGGACGCACAACGTATAGTCATTTGGATGGGACGAAAAACTGAGGTTCTGTAATGTAGGACGGAGGACAACGTACAGTCATTCGGATGGGACGAAAAACCTAGGTCCCGTGTACACATTGCGTGCTCGTAAAAGAACCGTGACAGTCTCGACATAATAGAGACTTTTGGCAAGCGTAAATTCCTGGTCCGTATCGCGTATCCGTATCGATTTTGCGCGTGACGTCATCAATGCGTGTGTATTTCTCATACGTGATACGGCACACGGATACGGCAGCACGTATCGAACAGCTTTCATACGGAAAAGGTCCGTATAACATCGTTGTCTTTTTACCGTATTGTTTATTGTTAGACGCGGAAATGTTGTGCCGTAGCGTTTTTATGAATCTATGTTTATCCTAGAACACGAAGGTATATATTTGATGTGATTTTAACCATGATAAAGACTGGAATTAAATCATTTTTTTATGAGCTTTTCGCGGAATTTTCATATTTTGCCTGTCTGTCTGCATGCTGGCTGATCTACGTGCTACATTTAGGGAGGTGGGGCCTTGCAAATCTGTAAAAGAGGTATATACTTTCTGAAATGATACATTAGTGATAGTGAAACCCAAAAAGGCTGTCAAGTCCAAGTCGAAGATTTTTAATAAGATTCGACACTATTTGTTTTTTTCAAATTGTTTTTAAATAGCTCAGCGATTGTCGAGCGACTTTACTCCGTTCAGCAATTTGTAGGCTAGGCACCTGACTAGTACTGATGTTGATCTTGGTAGATAACTGCCATCATATGCTGTAATAGAACTAAGTTCGGTAGAAGCTACCTATAGCCTACATGTACGTACGCGGCGCGAAAATCTGCCAAAACTCTAAAACCACATTGACGCAACGTATCACGTGACGATACGGATACGTGATACGGTTAGGGAAAATCCCACTTGCCAAAGGTCTCTATTGACTCTCATAGCACACCGTATGACGTATACCCGTCCTCATTAGCCCAAAACGAGGAGAACTGTAGCCCGCGTGGTTAAACCCCGTTTCATTCCATTTCTTGTTGTAAGATTTAGATAAAGAGCTGACCGCCCTGGCTATAATAATTCAGAAATAGATAATGCAAAATGAATATATTGAAAATTACTCATGAAGTTTCGACAATATTTGACATAGATTGTTTTTCGAGACATTGCCTAGCATCGCCATTTTTAAATTAAATCAATAAATGGCGAACGTGTCCTCAAAATGCAAATGCAAGCGAACGTTTCTTGGGTTTTTACTGATGAAATATACCCATTTACTTATAAAGGAGGGGGTGGGGGTCTAGTGGTTTGACGAGTGCACGTGAAATCATAATGTCCGTCATTGAATCAGCTGGCGTGGTTTCGATTCACCGCGTGTACGTGACAAGGAGTAGGATCGCCTGTGACGTCCAACTTTATTGGGTTTCTCTGGGCCTCCCGCTGCAAGCGAATTATTGAAATAGAATTGAACCATATGTTAGTCCTGAAATGACCTAGTCTGTGTCGAGTGGACGACAAATCCCATCTTCTTTCTAGCGCTCACTTTTACTTATAAGATATTCCGTCTATTTGCTCCCTTATCTAAACAACTAAAAATATCCCGAAGTCGTTTACCTGGTATTTAACGTACTTCGTTATAGTTGGGGGGGGGGGCTGTCTATCATTGAGTCAATGGGCGTGGTTTCGATTCCCCGCTTGTACGTGCCAAGTTGTAGGGTTACCTGTCCAACCTCGTGGGTTTTCTTCGTGTCCTCCGGTTTCCTCCCACTGCTAAAGACCCCTACGCGCAAGCCAATTATTGAAATAAAATTGAACCATGTGTTAGTCCCGAAATGACCCAGTTTGTGTCGAGTGGACGTTAAACCCCATTTCTCTATCTCTTTGTTATAATTTACAAATTAAATAAATTATATTTTTAGTTGTCCTGTTGAGAAAACAGTAACTACAGTTTCCTTGTCTGACAAAAGGGCAGGGTTCCGCTACCGGTCCTTCAGGTTTGTCAACTACCCATTGGTTTACCTCCACTGTGAGGCATTTATCTGCATCAAGACTGAGCGACCTTGTGACCGAACCTGTAACGCCACCATAACCAGAGGGCCATTCGGACGGCGACGGAAGAGAGACATAGAATTAAATACCATCTTCTACGTGGACGGTCCACCCATGCAGATCAACAAAGTTAACCAAAGCCAAGGCATCATTGAAAGATTGGGTGACAATGGCCGACCCAGTAAGTAAAAACATTTCTTATTTTGAAAATCGAAACTAAACCTAATCAAAGAATTAAATATATAGGTATCCTGTATACCAGTCAGAGGTTGGACAGAGAGAGAATTGGATTTAATGTCCACTCGACACAGACTAGGTCATTTCGGGACTAATACATGGTTGAACATTATTTTGATAGCCTTGAAGTATTTGTTGCAGCAAAGCAAATGACAACAGTTTAATCTGAAATTGTCTAATCATTTTTTTTTCTAATACAGCTGAAGTTCCAATGGATCAAATCCCTCCTGAAATACTGTCACCAACAACCAGAAACCCTCTTGATGGACCCCCGATGCCCGACTTACCGGAGTCTGTAGCAACCGTGGAGGTGACACCTGTTAAGGAAAATGGGACATTGTCTGACATCAATGTAACTCGTACAGTCGTTGAAACAAACAAACCAGTGAAGACGGATATTTGGATAGAATTTCCGTCCAATCAGCAGAAGAATGTACCAATCGTCAAATCGGACCGAGGTACTTTTAATCAGGTATCAAAGAAAGAGGAGGTGCTGGTCATCGGTTTGCAGGGTGGTGTAAATAACGCCCCTCTTCCCACACCTCACCCCCTAACACCCCTTGCCTGCTTGATTGAAGTCTCGATCTCGATCTTGATTCAGAGATTGTATTAAGTTTTAGATGCTGCTGGCGTCACCTTTTATAATTATCAAATTTTTTTGGACTTTTCAGGGCTAATGTAGGGAAGGTGTTAATCCTGTCGTCCGTTTTATAATATTTTGGATTTTTGGGGGGCTAATTTAAAGAAAGTGAATATTTTGTAATATTTTAGGCTTTTCCGGGCTAATATAAAAATAAGGTGACTATCCTGTCTTCCGGTTTTTAATATTTTGGACATTTCTGGGCTAATGTAATGAAGGTCTAAACCCTGTCGTCCGGTTTGTAATGATCTGTAACTTGATACACAAATTATAAAAGGATTAATAAATTGATTTGGATTTACATGTACATATTTGTATAAAGTGCCCCACAAGTAGTGATATTAATTGTGATATTGATAGTTAACCACAAGTAGTGATATTAATTGTGATATTGATAGTTAACCACAAGTAGTGATATTAATTGTGATATTGATAGTTAACCATGAGGTATATATTGTTAGTTTAAAAGATGCATTAAATACGAACTAGGTCTGTCTATAAAATGTCTACTCAATGGCTTCAAATATTCTATAAATTATTTTTTTGACATTTATTAATATGACAGGTTTATAATCAACTTTCTAAACCATCGGATGGACGAGGTTGAAATGGATTTAAACATTTAATAAAATGGAAAATCGAGGAAAAGTCTCGGTTGGCAAGAACCCTTGCGACGATCATGAACGATCTACGCTATATCTTCGAACTGTCGTAACTTCGCGCAGAAAAATGTAGTTGGAATAAAGTTTTCAATATATTCATATTTCATTATCTATTTTTGAACTGAGAGAGAGAGAGAGAAATGGGGTTTAACGTCCACACGACACAAACTAGGTCATTTCGGTACTAACATATGGTTTAATTTTTATTTCAATACTTCGCTTGCGCATAGGGCTCTTTAGCAGTGGGAGGAAACCAGAGGACCCGGAAAAAACACACGAGGTTGCACAGGCGACCCTACTCCTTGTCACATACAACCGGGGATTCGAAACCACGCCAGTCGACTCAATGACAGACTTTATGATACAGCCATCCAACTCCCCTATTTTTGAACTATTATAGCAAGAGCAGTCAGCTCTTTATCTAAATATAATATAATACAGAGACTATCTAAATCCTACATAATACATCTTTAATATAATACAGAGACTATATAAATCCTACACAATGCATCTTTAATATTTGTATTTTTTGTTAACACGTATATTTTGATATAATATTATATAGTTTTCCATTTTAATGTCGAGGTATATTTATTAGTCACGCGTGTCGGTTCAATATTCTTGTCGACGCAAAAATGAAATGAAATGGGGTTTAACGTCCTATATTCTGCTACGAATGGACCAATGAGGACGGCGTACGTCATGCAGTTTGCTACGAATGGACCAATGAGGACGGCTTACGTCATGCAGTTTGCCACGAGGGAAATTTTGTTGCGTCGCTACGTCCTATTCCTTTGCGTGTACGCCAATGTGTACCCGGGGCCTCAGTTTTTCATCCCACCGTACGTCTGGGCGCTGTCATTGTCAGACCGTTTCAGATATTATACATGTTATTATGAAAATAAGATATTCACCAAACTCTTTATTGTAACACTTTTATTTATATAATGTTCCGGGTTTTTTTTTAAAATGTATTATATTATTATCATTAGTATTGTTGTCCGCCCCGAATAGTTACAATTTTATATATATCGCCTAGCGACCAATAGTTACAATTAAAATATGGCGGTCGCGTAATGATATCTTGTAAAGTCCTGATCGATTTTAAGTATTGATACAAAGATATAAACAAATAAATCCTATTTTGTTAAAAACAAAAACCTACTTAAACATACATTATCCAAGAGGTAAATTTGCTTATTGCAGGTCTTTCTTTAGGCTTGAAATTTTATCTAAATTATCAATTATACATTAATTAACTTCTCCAGACCGTACTCAACTCGCGGTGTGATCGCTAGCCTGCGATATTTATTGGATTAAAATCCGATCTGCTGCTCAACGCTCTTTGATGATTAAATTAAAATATGGATAATCGAAACTATATATTCATCGTACCGACTTTAGTAATGATGATCGAGCCTAGGCCCAAATTTCATTCGCTAAATTCTCAGTTCAGAGTGGATCAATTTGACTGAAATTTTCAGTAAATTCCCTTTACATTATCTTGTTTTTAACTATTATAGTGAGTTCTGCCAGCTATTTATCTAATCTCCCATAATGTATCTTTAATAAGCTTATGTGATAGTTTTATTTTTTTATATATAATTGTTATGTTTGAAATGTTATTTGTTAATTTTGTTGTTGCTGGTTTTTTATAAACATATCGTTATACCATGACAAGATAAAACTCTGGGACGCCATTGGTTGAGATATTGAAGGATTGTTAATTAGTCGCGATTGTACCACTGTGAATATAGGGGAGATCAGTCATCCAAACTGTGTAGTAGAGACGAAGACTACAATGGTTTACGTAGTCACGATTAGATGTTGATTGACAGCTGTCAGATAGTGTTAGGGCGGGGTATACGTCTTCATTTCCGCATAAACGTATTAGTATTCATATCCTAAGGACCAATGATACGCTCCGATGTACATGCAGCATCTATCTGCCCAGCAGCTCTCGTAAGTTTCAAGGAAGAAATTGGAAAGATGCCAGTAATTCGTTCTTGTTAATTATATGATTTGTCTTTTCGCTAAACGTACTTTGATATTTGTAATATACCTCAACAAGGTAATGTGACGCGGCAATTTGGTATAGTTCGTTTCCAAATTAGATTTTCATGCTTATTTTAGATATTTTACATCATGGCATGCCATTTTAAATATTATTTTATTCATATCGATAAAAATGAATTCGATCGTCTATGTGGTAATAATTTATCGATCTAGATAATTATTTAAGAAAAACAACACTTTTGTATTTTTGATGTGCTCAATCACTCAATGCCATTTAAGGATGACGTCATTCTAAATACAATTCAAGGATGGTGACATTCTAAATTCCATTCAAGGATGACGTCATTCTAAATGCCATTCAAGAATGATGTTATTCTAGATAAATATATTGATATCTGACAGATTCTGTGATAATAAAATAGTATTTTCGATATTTAGCATACATTTTTTGTAATTTATTGAAAATAAATACCATAAGTTATTATTCCATTTGGTTTTATTTTTATATAAATGGAATGAAATCAATTCTGACGATCTGTTTGATGAGTACAGCTGATTAAATTCAAGGATAATGAATATTCCGTCAATGATTCTGTTAATTTCATGACCTTAAAAGTTTTAATCAACCCGAGGGCCTGGCGAGGGCTACGTCTAGTCGTTCGGATGGGACAAAAAAACGAGGTCCCGTGTACACATTGGCGTGAAAGTAAAAAAAAAAATCCCTTAGCAGTTGGAGTTCGAAATAAGAGTAGGCTGCACTGTCGCTGCCCGGGCAAGATATCAGTTTTCAAGGCCCCCTTCGCGTTCACCTGGCCGAGGACGTTAAGAGGAATGGGGTTTAACGTCCACTCGACACCAACTAGGTCATTTCGGGACTAACATATGGATTAATTTTATTTCAATAATTCGCTTGCGCATAGGGGGTTTTAGCGTTCGACTCAATGACAGACTTTATGAAACAGCGCGCGCAATGTCGTCAATTGGATGTGGGGATCACGGTGGCTAAGTGGGTAAGACTCTGGCTCGCTATCCCGGAGGGCGGTTATTCGATCCCTACATTGGCCGAGAAAGTTGATCCAGATTTTCCGGCGTGGTTCCCCCTTATCAGTGATGCAGGACGGAGGGCCTGACAAGCACAGCTGTCTAGTCTTTCGGATGGGAAGAAAAACTGAGGTCCCGTGTACATATTGGCGTGCACGTAAAAGATCCCTTGATAGTTGGAATTCGATATAAGAGTCCGGGCAAAATTTCCCTCGTAGCACACTGTATGGCGTATGCCCATCTTCATTAGAGCAGTATAGGAGCAGAACAGTAGGATGTTAAACCCCATTTCATTTCATTTCAAATGGATATTCAGATTTTTAATTAAATCCTAAAAAAAACGAAAGCCCTTAACAAGTTACTATATCTAACCCCAATCTAGAAGCGACAATAATACTTTAACCTCAATCTAGAAATGAAAATGTCTACTAGCCCTCCTCGCCACTTAAATACACTGATCATTTTGTTAACGTAAGGCATGGAAGTGGAAAAGGCGTGTTACACCAGCCCGGTTTGTGTTCAGTGTTCAAAAAATGTAATGAAATGCGGTTCAACGTCCTACTGTTGCTGTGACTGGAGCTAAAAAAAGACGGGAATAGACCATTCAATGTGCCCCAACCCTGTAAACTATAAGTGACAATACCCAAATAAACTGTAACAAGGAACATATTCAGTCTTTTTCCCGTTATAGAACAAGTTTCGCTTTCGGCAACTTTGATTAATTCAATAAAATGATTAATTATGTATTAAGTGTTTATTCTAAATGTGTATGTATATAAGTATTACATTACATAGTATCAATATAATGAGATGACGGATGTAGTTTAATACAGGGAAATTAATATTGTTCATATATATATATATATAATTATATAGGATGTAGACTATTATGATAGAAACGTCCTTCACTTACTTGAAGACAAACGGATGTATACAATCACCGATGAGAGAGAGAGAGAGAGAGAGAGAGAGAGAGAGAGATGGGGTTTAACGTCCACTCGACACAAACTAGGTCATTTCTGAACTAACATATGGTTTAATTTTATTTCGATAATTCGCTTACGCGTAGGGGTCTTTATTAGTGGGAGGAAACCAGAGGACACGGAGAAAACCCACGAGGTTGGAAGGCGACCCTACTCCTTGTCACGTACAACCGGGGATTCGAAACCACGCCAGTTGACACAATGGCAGGCCTCGTGACACAGCACGCACGTGTTAACCATTCGCCCCCCCCCCCCCACGCACACAGATTCGAACCATGATAAAAGGAGAATGAGATTAACAAACGACTTTATTCAAGATCACAAAAGAACTGACGGCCAACGAACATGAATATCACCGAAAATTCGAGTATAAAACAAGTCTATTAAACACCAAAGTGATGAATTCACCAGACGATTTCCATTCAGACCATTTATTCTCGGTCCGTGCTGCCCTACTAATAGACTATCAAATCTTGTTGATATCCGTATGTGCCAAATGTAAAATCTGTTATTCGGGATGGCATAGATTTTGTTAATAGACTGTCCCAAAATCTGAACGATGGCGACGTTTTCGTAACCATGGATGTTTGTAATATGCATGGCAACATTTCCCATGACCTATGCTTTCAGGCCATAGAATATTGGTTGGATAAACATCCTGAATACAGTCATGAGGGAATTTCAAACAACTTCATCCTAAAAGCTATACGCATCATCCTGACTACAAATAAATTCTTGGTAACAATGGGATTTCTCGAGGAAAAACTATACTCAATTGTACAAATTGAACATGGCGTCGATTACGGATTATATTTAAAAAATCAGCTGAAACGATTCCTAGGCGATATATTCTGTATTTGAAATGAACGAATTGGCACATTGCAGATTTGAAACAAATAATGAATGATTTAGAATGATTGAAACGAACGATCTGCAAATCGCATTCTTGGGCGTTCAAGTGAAACGATGGGGAGAGCTCCTCCTCATAACGGATATGTATTCTAAAGAAACAGATACCAAGAACTGACTTTCGTATAAATCATTGCGAGAAAAATATGCACCATTGTGATAGATGAAGACCTCCGGGTTGTCAGATTAGGTGAGCTAAAAAGTATTTACTGAAACAGTATTACCCCCTCGAGGTACTAGAAGTTGGGATAAACAAGGCTTTAGCAATTGATATCCAAACATTGAGAACTACTAAAGTAAAAGACAGTTCGGATAATAGCATTACCTTTGTCGTTACCATTACCATCGACGGGATTGTAATATTGAAAATTGGCCCTTATTTGTAAATAGACATATCTTTAGATGTGCACAACACCTACAAGTAAAATTCCAAATTTTACCTTTTTATAAAATGAAAGTCGATGACACCACGAAAAAGAAATGAATGGAAAACCATTTTATTAAAAAAAAATACTTTCCTTGACTTAATAGTCAATGAGTAACAATTAGCCATTAACTTCATTAATTTTCTTAAATCTATCCCAGGATTATCTTCCAGTCATTGTTTCTAAATTAAACCCATATACTACAGATTAACACACGTGTGTACATGTTTGCTATTAGTTAACGATATACTCTGTAACCATAGACAATGTAGATTATTGCCAATTAAAACCTCAGTGTTACAATGTAAATATGTATAAATATACTATACCGTTCATCTTTATACAATGACATTGTTTATGAATATACTGTTGGAATGGCATTTAGTAATTGGACACATTAAAATAAACACAACAGTTCTATGGATAACAATTACTATATTTCTATTAAAGCTGCGTTTCAACAATGATTCTCTTGTCGTGAGCAAGCACAATACTGATACAGACAGAAGGAGCGAAATTTATTTATTTATGAATAGTCCCAAGACGGACGAAAAGTACTTTAAAATGTTAAAATGTTATTAAACCAGTGTTGAAATCAGTTTGTGTCGGCATACCTTGTATCTTTTCATCCAGAAATATTAGCACAACCGTAAAGCTACACTACTCAGTCTTAAGACCAACTAGAAATCAGCCAGTTTTTTTCAAGTTTGGGAATGTGACCTCAAAGATTTGTTGAAGAGAATCCTGTCATCAACCTCTCAAAGACAATAAATTGTAGCCCAATTAGTATCTATTCAGATGGTGTATTGTATAAGTGTCATATTACACTGCTCTATATTTAGAATGTAAAACTAAAGCTAGATGGGTTTGGAATCAGATTCTATGAGATTTGAATAAGAGAATAAGAAAAACTAATCAAATTAAACACAGAAATAAACAAATTTAATAACAATTTAGTATAATAAAAAAAAAATTGATTCGAATATTACATAATGTAATAATAAGCTTATTAATTTGATGTAATATCTACAGCAGCTTGTCTAAACCAGGGTATAAAATATCTTACATTATTTTACTCATATACTTTGACCAATTTGATGTTAACCAATTAAATGATTTTGGAACTGGAACTTTTTCTTGTGGAGATTAATATTCATAAGTAAAACAAGGGTTGTTGAGCACATTACGATTGTATAACTCTTGCCAATTATATATTGATTTCTATAGAAAGGGGTCAATATCGAAATATTAATGGCCTATTGATCCATCGTACAATACTATTTACGAACTTATCAATTATCAGTAAAAGAAAATTTGATCCAAAATTATCTATTTTGGTGCAAAAATATGAACATTTACTGATTATTTACATACAGGGAAAAGGTCACCCCAAAACAATCTACATGTATTTGTTATTTAAAGGAGCTAAATCGCTGATATTTAGGATCTAGAAATTGACACAAATGGTTCGCAACACAAATAATAATGTAATATGAATGTACATAAACCGATTTAGTATTTATTGCGCATGCTCTCCAGATAGGAATATGACGTAACCCTTTGAATTACTTGTGGAATATATCTAGCCTCGTCCTTCGAGTCCATTGTTATAAATGGCACTTAAAGGTATTCGTGAACCAATGGTAAAATGTTTATTTTGTCTTACAATTTTATGGAAGCCTATAACTACCATTCATAATTTCTACTTTTCGCCACTTCAAAACACGAAAGTCGAAAAGTGACCTTGAAAGTAGAGACTACATCAACTTCCGAGGCGACAAGACAACAGTACGACAGCAAGCCAAAATCAAAGGTCGCTAATATCGCCATCAATACTAGACTTTATAGACTATTTTGTTAACGTGAATTTATTGTCAATGTCAACAAAACAGTACACCTTCAATAATGTATTATAACAATATTACTTATATTCTCTGTCACCACAGAGTTCTTGATGTGGAAATTTACACGGAAATATTTATTTATAGCTAGGGATATGATATCTAAATTACATCCTTCTTATTGTTGATATATATATATATATATATATATATTATATCAACAATAAGAAGGATGTGATATCATATCTTTCTTATCTAAATTAGATCCTGCTTATATATATATACTACGA